CACCCCAGCCCGGACTCCTGTGAAGACTTCAGCTTTCACTTGTCTCTACACAAAAGACTCCGCCAGATTAATACGAAAACCCGGAGAAGATACACTCGTACACTGGCTTCCCTTAATGATTCCTCGATCACTGAGCCTCAGATTAACTCAGAATGTGAAACAGAAGTCACATTCATTGACAAAAGCCACCCCATCAGTTCTCAATCACTGAGCCCCACAAGGGAGTGACTTGCAAATACCCCAATCCCTGACCTTAGGTCGTTGATCTACTTAGGCCTTTAATCACTGACCACCCAGAGCCTCCGTAAGGGACCCCCAAAGATACCCCATCACAGGCACCTACCAGGGTCTCCTAGCGCACCTCCAAAGAAGACACCCGCCCCCCCAACCCCAACCCCCAACCCCGCGCTACCTCCACGGTCTGCCGCCACCATCAACGCAGACAGCCTCAGAATGCTCCCTCTCACAGCGTTTCCACGGCCTGACCCACATACTGACCTGACTGTCCTTGGAATCGCCGCGACCTCTTAAAGGCTGAACTTCCCTAAACTTCTTCCACTTCTGGGCCCCTAGCCCAGCTCCCTCCCGCATAAACCTCCGGAGAGGGTCCACCGCGTTTCCCCGGAAAGCGGAATGGAGGCTTCCGGTTTTTCCTCAGGAGGAGACTCGCCCGCGCCGCCTTCGCTTCGCTGCTCTGCGGGCGGCCATCTTTGAGTACGTGACGTACAGAAGGAACAGCATCCGCGAGACGCGGTGGGCAGAGTGCCCTACAACTGTCCGATTTCCAGACACCTCATCCCTGGCAGAAAATGGAGGTTATTAGAGGGTTGAGTTCACACAGGCAGAAATGGCGTGGGGGTAAAGTCCCCTGAACGGACAGGAAACAGAATAAGTTGGTCTTCTCATTGAAGGGGACAGGGAACGGCGCAAACTTCTCAAAGGCCGGAGCCCATTACACAAAGGAGCGGCATCCGTTCTTAGCGGTCATGACGACTGTGACGTCTCAGCTCAGTGGAAAATTAAAGTCACCTCTGCCACCTCAATCACTGTTCTAAATGCGAAGCGTTTTAGAGGCCGTATAAAAACTGAAGCAAGCGGGACTAAAAAAAAAACGATGCGTTTCAAGTAACCGCGCTGTTAGGCGAGAGCACCGTGGGCGGGGCCATCTTAGGGGAAGTTCGGTGTCCGTACAGCAGAACTAACGCTTTCTGGGAAGTTTGCGGTGGAACTGGCTCATGGAAATGTCTTCAGAAGAACAAACATATCTGGGAAAGTGAGGTGGTATGGGGGATGCAGCAATCACCAAATGAGCTGAAAAAGTCGACCTCGTGACCGTCTTTCCAGCCTCATCCCAATCAGGCCTTTTACCCTGCCGCGACTACGAAACACGCACTCTGGGCAGCCGGCGAGCTGCCCTCTCACTGTAGATCTGTAGAATCATACTGTATGCACTCTTTTTATCATAGTGTATGTACTCCAGCCTGAGCGACAGGGAGGTTACATTATAAAAATGTCAATTTACAGGGATGGTTTGAGAATCTTGTATGCACTTAAAACCAGCTACAAAACGTGAAACAACAAGTGACAGAAGTGAAAAGAATACAAATCTAGGTGGAGCACAGAGGATTTTTAGGGTAGTGAAAGTCCTCCTTATGTTCCTGTGATGGTGAGTACATGCCACTGTATAATACTTGTCTAAATCCACACAATGTACATGCATTAACTAAATATAAACTATGGATGTTGGGTGATAATGTAACTCCCACTTTGGTGGGGAATGTTGATAACGGAGAAGGAGCTATACAGAAAATCTCTGTACTACTAAATTTTGCTGGGAACCTAAAATTGCTCTAAAAAATATATTTTAGAAACAATTGAATTAGAAAATAGAATTAGAAATTAAAAATAATCAAAATTGAAAATTGAATTAGAAAACACTTCAGAATGTATTTGTGGTGATGTTCTTTAGAAACCCATAACTGTTTCCAGGAATTGGCAATGGGAACAAAGGTTTTCAGAATTATTCTGAGCTCACCAAGCATGCACTGTCGTTGTGAATACTGGTGAGTTGATAAATTGCAGTTTCTTTTTTGCAAAGCTGCTATTTCAGAATCACAAACTTACATCACAGGAGCCAGCTGGCTTCCCCCGCCACCAACACACTGGTACAGTCATCCCGCCTTATCTACAGTTTCACTTTCCATGGTTTCAGTTACACACGGCAGCTGTGGTCCAAAAACATTAAATGGTATATTCCCATAATAAGTAATTCATGTTTTAAATTGTGCACTCTTCTCATAAATGTGATAAAATCTCATTGTTCCACCCAGGACATAAATCATCCCTTTATATCGTGTATACACACTAAATATGCTACCCATCTGTCACTTAGCAGTCATCTCAGCCGATTAACAGTATTGCAGTGCTTGTATTCAAGTAACTCATTTTACTTAATTAATGGTCCCAAAGCACAAAAGTAGCGATGCTTGCAACTTGGATGTGACAGAGAAGGTGTAAGGTATGCACAATGGCATGCAACTGTAGTTTTAGCTATTTAGGAGGCTGAGGTAGGAGGATTTATTGAGGCCAGGAGTTTGAGCCCAGCTTGGGTAACATGGCAAAACCCCATCTTTAATGTAAATTTAAAAATCAATTAGCTAGGCATGGTGGTGCACATGTGTAATCCTAATTACTCAGGAGACTGAGGCAGGAAGACTGCTTACTGAGGCTGTAGTACAGAGATCTCAGCTGTGAATAACCACTGCACCCCAGCCTGGGTGACATGGCAAAAACTCCTTAAAAAAAGAATAGAAAAGAGAGAGGGGAGGAGAGGGAGGAAAGGAAGTAAGGAAGAGAGGGGAAAGACAAAGAAAAAGCAAGAAAGCTGTAAAGTACCTCCTTTAACTGGAAGTTCTTGCTGTATAAAAAAAAAAAATCATGCTGAAGCTGCTAAGATTTATCGTGAGAAATCTGTACATGATAGCACTGAAATTTCCTTTGAGGTGATCAAAACAAAAAAAATAGAAATCTGCATATGAAAAACTGAATACAAAGATATTAGTGCTAGCTTTGCTGTCACACGTCAAAACTTTACTTAAACTGTATATATATGCTTCAGAGTTTCAGGCATCCACCAGGGGAGTCTTGGAAGGTATCCCATGGGTAAGGGGGACTACTGTATTTGCAAAAATCTGTTGTTGATTCTACCATAAAAAAAAAAAAAAACTGTTACACATTATTTCAACCATGAAAGCATAATGGTGCAGTATTCTGTTAGTTCCTAAGGTAGAATGAAACTGTGTTGGTAAAAGGAACCTGACTGAGTTATGAACAAAAATGATACTATTTTATTAATTAAAACAGGAGACTTCTGATACATTCTGAATATAAGAGCAGTAAAATATAAACAGTTAAATGTGAATCCCACTTATGAACATGCTATTCCAGTTCTTTTGATTAAACTCTTCTGATAACTGCTCTCTTCTATTTCCAAGAATAAGATTACATTCTGATTAATCCTTGACATATAACAGCTATCATTCAATAGAGATGACCACCATTATTTCTCTCATACAATCGTCTCTAGCAACCTATCACTCACCTTCCATGAAAATCCTGAATCTGAATCTATCAACGTCCTTCCTGCTGTTTCTTGGTCAGTTATCAGGCAACTGTTTTCCATATCCCAAAGTAACACCCTGATTGAACACAAGCTCAGTGACTTACATTGTAAATTTACATCATTCTCCACCTTACCCCACGCTGCTTAACTCACACAGTACAGTGGCCTTGATCTTCCAGAAAACATGGATATGAAGAAGCCACACCTAATGAAGTAGGCCCCCTCATCTTACTGATTTATTCCCAGAGACCGTAATGAAAGATGTGCAGGAAAGGCAATAGACTTCATACTTTAAGATGAAGGTCACAAATAGTCAAGTAGCCTTTTTAAGAAACGTTAAAGTCCGGGCGCGGTGGCTCACGCCTGTAATCCCAGCACTTTGGGAGGCCGAGGCGGGTGGATCACGAGGTCAGGAGATCGAGACCATCCTGGTCAACATGGTGAAACCCCGTCTCTACTAAAAATACAAAAAATCAGCTGGGCATGGTGGTGCGTGCCTGTAATCCCAGCTACTTAGGAGGCTGAGGCAGGAGAATTGCCTAAACCCAGGAGGTGGAGGTTGCGGTGAGCCGAGATCGCGCCATTGCACTCCAGCCTGGGTAACAAGAGTGAAACTCCGTCTCAAAAAAAAAAAAAAAAAGAAACGTTAAAGTGAATATAATTGTTATATAAACTGAATTGGCCATTTCCACACATGCTCTTGCTCCTTTGATGTACATACTACGAGGGGTTTTAACAGATTTTGTCTTGTAGTGATAGTATTTACCATTCCACATCAATCCTGGATGGAGAAGCAGACTTAGTATCCATTGCATGATTTACCTAATATGGAATCTGTTGAGAAATGGTTTAAAATTTTACCATATTGATTACATTTCCATGGTTTCTCTCCAGTATGAATAATTTGGTAAAGCCTGAAGACACACTACTGATTAAATGTCCTTCCATGTTAAACACACTCATTTGGCTTTTCTCCTGCATAAATTATCTCAAATTCCAAAAACATGGAACATTTGATTTTTTATTTTTTTGAGGCAGAGTCTTGATCTTGTCACCCAGGTGGAGTACAACAGCACAGTCTGGGCTCACTGCAACTTCCACCTCCTGGGTTCAAGCAATTCTCCTGCCTCAGCCTCCCAAGTAGCTGGGATTACAAGTACCCACCACCATGTCTGGCTAATTTTTGTCTTTTTAGTAGAGATGGGGTATCACCATATTGGCCAGGCTGGTCTCAAACTCCTGAACTCTGGTGACCACCCGCCTGGGCCTCCCAAAGTGCTCAGGTGTAAGCCATCACACGTGGCCCATTTGATTTTTTTTAAAAACGCTTACCACATTTGTTACATTTCTAAGGCTGTTGTCCTGTATGAATACTCTGATGTTTCTGTCTTGATGTTCAGGTAAGAAGCCTTAGCACGCACATTCCATTTGTGTGGTTCCTGACAAAGATGTATATTCTGATGTCTAGTGAGTTCAGATACCTGGGGAAAGCCTCTAGCACATACATTTAAATGATTTCTTTCCAGTATAAACCCTCATGTCAAGTAGTGACTGAACTCTGGTAAAGATTTTGCCACACTCATTTCATTTGTAAAGCGTATCTGCACTTCAAGTTACTTAGAGATTCGCAAGTTTTGACCTTTAAATAGTATTCTTACCACATATATTATACTTCTGTGATGTCTCTCCAGGATTTATATTCTTATGCCTCGTGAACAGTTGCTTAAAACTTAGCTATATTCACTGCATGTGTAAATGTATCAACGCATAATTGCATTGCTAGAAATAAATACCTGAGGCTGGGTAATGTATAAAGAGGTTTAATTGGCTCACAATTTTGCAGGCTTTACAGAAACATGGTGCTAGCATCTGCTTACTCTCTGGGGAAGCCTCAGAAAGGTTGAAATGATGGTGGAAGGTGAAAGGGGAGTGGGCATGTCACATGGCCAGAAGGGAAACAAACGAGGGAGGTGCCATTCGTGTGTGTGTGTGTGTGTGTGTGTGTGTGTGTGTGTGTGTGTGTGTGTAAAGCGAAGTCTCACTCTGTCACCCAGGCTGGAGTGCAGTGGCACAATCTCGGCTCACTGCAACCTCTGCCTTGAGGGTTCAGGTGATTCTCCTGACTCAGCCTCTCGAGTAGCTGGTACTACAAATGCCCGCCACAAAGCCCCGCTAATTTTGTGTAATTTTTGGCAGAGACAAAGGTTTCATCATGTTGGCCAGGCTGCTCTCTCTTGAACTCCTGATCTCAAGTGATCCACCCACCTTGGCCTCCTAAAGTGCTGCGATTACAGGCATGAGCCATGGCGCCTGGCCCTGCCATTCACTTTTCAACATCCAGACCTCATCAGAACTCACTATCACAAGGACAGCACTAAGGGGATGGTACTAAACCTTTCTGGAGAAATCCACCCCATGATCCAATCACCTCCCACTAGGCTCCTCCAATACTGGAGATTAAGGTTAGGGATTTCAGAGGGAAGGGACAAATATACAAGCTATATCAGTAAGTATAAATTATTTGGTGATCTCAGAAGTTAGGACAATGTCTAAAGGCCTTTCCACATTCAGTTTAGTTCTAAGGTTCTCTCCAGTATGTTTTATCTGATGTTTAGTGAGGCCTGAGCGACTAATGTAAGATTTACTACACTCATTACATTTATAAGGTTTATCACCAGAATGAAGTCGTTGGTGTTTAGTGAGGCAAGACCGCCGCCCAAATGCCTTGCCACATTCAATACATTTGTATGGCTTCTCTCCAGTATGATTTCTCTGATGGTAAACCAAGTTTGACTTTTCGATAAAAGCTTTACCACATTCATTACATTTATAAGGTTTCTCTCCAGTATGCATCATCTGATGATTAAGCAGAATTGAGCGCACTCTAAAGGCTTTGCCACACTCATTACATTTGTAAGGTTTCTCTCCAGTATGAATACTCCAATGACGGGCTAAGCCTGAGCGATAACGGAAGACTTTGCCACATTCATTACATTTGTAAGGTTTCTCTCCAGTATGAATTCTCCGATGCCTTGCAAGGGTTGTAGTGGAATTAAAGACTTTTCCACATTCAATACATTTATATGGCATCTCTCCAGTATGTCTTCTCTGATGGTACACCAGACTTGTTTTATGACTAAAAGTTCTACCACATTCACTACATCTGTGTGGTTTCTCCCCAGCAGGATTTCTGTGATATCTTGCAAGTTTTGAACTTTGGATAAAAGCCTCGCCAAACTCATTACAATGGTAAGGTTTCTCTCCAGTATGAATTACCAGATGTTTAGTGAGGCTTGAACGCTGAGTATAGGCTTTGCCACAATCATTACATTTGTAAGGTTTCTCTCCAGTATGAATTTTCCGATGACGTGCTAGGCATGAATAATAACTGAAGACCTTGCCACATTCATTACACTGGAAAGGTTTCTCTCCAGTATGACTTCGCCTATGAATTGAAAGGTTTCCACTGTCAATGAAGACCTTGCCACATACATTACATTTGTAAGGTTTCTCGCCCGTATGCATTCTCTGATGACGTGCTAGGCATGAATAGTAAGTGAAGACCATGCCACATTTATTACAACGGAGAGGTTTCTCTCCAGTATGACATCTCATATGAACTGAAAGGTATCCACCATAATTAAAGACCTTGCCACACACATTACATTTGTAAGGTTTCTCTCCTGTATGAATTCTCTGATGTATAGTGAGTAATGAGCCCCAATTAAAGGCTTTGCCACATTCATTACATTTGTAAGGTTTCTCTCCAGTATGAATTCTCTGATGCACTGCAAGATGTGAATGTTGACTGAAGACCTTGCCACATTCATTGCATTTGTAAGGTTTCTCTCCAGTATGAACTCTCCGATGCCCTGCAAGACGTGAACGTTGAAAGAAGACCTTGCCACATTCATTACATTTGTAAGGTGTCTCTCCAGTATGAATTATCTGGTGCCTTACAAGTTGTGAACTTTGATAAAAGACCTTGCCACATACGTCACATGTATATGGTTTCTTTTCTGCATGGATTATATGATGTGTAGTGAGGCTTGAGTTCCGTTTAAAGGTTTTGCCACACTCAGTACATTTGTAGGGTTTGTCTCCAGTATGAACTGTCTGATGAGTTGCAAGAGAGGAACTTTGACTAAAGCACTTCCCACACTGATTACATTTATAAGGTTTCTCTCCAGTATGAATTCTCTGATGAACTGAAAGGTGGGAACTTTTACTAAAGGACTTGCCACATTGATTACATATGTAGGGTTTGTCTCCGGTGTGACTTCTCTGGTGATTTACAAGATCTGAATTTTGCCTGAAGATCTTGCCACACACATCACATTGATATGGTTTCCCTTTTGAATGGACTACCTGATGTACAGTTAGTAGTGAGCCCCGATTAAAGGCTTTGCCAGACTCATTGCATCTGTAAGGTTTCTCTGTAGTAATCTGATGATTAATAAGACTTGAAGACACTCTAAAGGCTTTGCCACACTCATTACCTACATAAGGTTTTCCCCTAATATGTGTTTTCTCGTCTTGTGTAGGTAATGAAAGTTGCAAAAAATCATTCCCATATTTTCTAGAAATGTTGGTTTGGACACTAGGAAAAATCCTTTCAAGTGGTGAAACTAAAAAACCATTATTAACTGTCCTCTCAATTTGATTACATTCATAAATTTTCCCTGCAGTTTGAAATTTCTGCAGTTCAGCCAGATGTGACTGAAAGCTTAATATAAGCTGATTTTCAATATGCTTGTTTTCTACATCCCCTTGACTATGTTGAAGTCTTTTACCAGTAAGGTTGTTTTTACGGGTCATCGGCACTTCTTTATAATTTATTTCACCATCTTTCTGTTGAAAGCCAAGGTCCTGTAGATTTTTCTGGATTTCCCTGAAGTAAAAATTTTCAATGTCACAGCTTTCATGTCCTTCCAACATCACCATTTGGAATTTTTCTCTTGTATTACTGTTCTGTATTGGTGGTAATTCCTTGATCACACATTTAGGAGAGATACCTGCAAAATGTAATGAACATGGGGTTTTAAAATAACTACTACTGGTAAACATTATTTTATACTGAAAACACACTAAACATAGTGTTTATACTAGCAAGTTGTGAAACTTTTCCACCATCTTCTATTTTTAGAAACACAAAATGAATAGAATTCTATAGTTAAGAAAGGGTAACTACGTGTAATTCATATCAGTTTTAGGAAAGCCTAGTTTCAAACATCCTACGACCAAAAGATCCATGTTGTGCAAACTTTTGAGCACTAAAACAAGTATTTTACAACCACTGACCCTAAATGACACACCAATTGGCAGTAAACATATGGCTCTCTCAGAAGAGTAAAAAAGTTACATGTATTTATATCACACAAATAAATTCTAAACCACAGCAAGATATGCTGTAATGGTAAATATTCACAAGTTCAACTAATTAATAATCATAATATAAATTAACAAATAAAACATTCTAATAACCTCTGATAAAACCAGCAGGTAAATAATGAACAACCACAAAATACAAATATTTAGTATGAAATTCTAAACAATTCTCCATTAATAATAAGCAAGAACTTACATTCTAGAGGCAGCATATGGTAACTGGAAAATATGTTGAGATCGCTGAGTTTTTTTTAATTTTATTATTATTATTTTAATTGCATTTTAGGTTTTGGGGTACACGTGAAGAACATGCAGGATTGTTGCATAGGTACACACATGGCACTGTGATTTGCTGCCTTCCTCCCCATCACCTATATCTGGCATTTCTTCCCATGCTATCTCTTTCCAACTCCCCACCCCCCACTGTCACTGAGTTTTAAAGATAAAAGAAAGGTAAATTTGTCTATGGTCATACCACTGTGAATGCATCTGATCTTGTCTGATCTCAGAAGCTAGGCAGTGTCAGAAATGGTTAGCACTTCGGATGAGAGAAAGGTAAATATATAACATAATAAAGAATAAAAATTGGTGGCTCAGACCTGTAATCCCAGCATTTTGAGAGGCCAAGGTGGACAGATCACTTGAGGCCAAGAGTTTGAGACTATCCAATAAAGAGAAACCTCATCTCTACTAAAAATATAAAAAATTAGCCAGGTGTGATGGTGCACACCTGTAATCCCAACTACTCAGGAGGCTGAAGTATGAGACTCACATAAACCCATGATGGGGAGGTTGCAGTGAGCCAAGATCATGACAGTGCACTTCAGCCTGGGCAACAGAGAGAGACTGTCAAAAAAAAAAAAAAAAAAAAAAAAAAAAAAAAAAAAAAAAAAAAAAAAAAAAAAAAAAAAAAAAAAAAAGAATAAAACTTGGGAAAGGAAATCAGAATTCCCAGTTATGATTTCATGCCTACAACTATGCAGCAAACAATAGAGCAACTCCCTATGTATTCACTGTCTTTTTTTTGCTATTTTTTGAGATGGAGTCTCACTCTGTCACCCAGGCTGAAGAGTGCAGTGGCATGATCTCACCTCACTGCAACTGCCAACACACAGGCTCAAGTGATCCCCCACCTCAGCCTCCTGAGAGCTGGGACCACAGATGTGCACCATCATGCCCAGTTATTATTTTTTTTTTTTGCAGTTTCGGTAAAGACGAGGTTTTGCTATGTTGCCGAGGCTGGTCTGGAACTCCTGATCTCAAGCAATCTGCCCACCTCTGCCTCCCAAAGTGTTGGGATTACAGGTGTGAGCCACTGCGCCCAGTCCTATTCATTGTCTTTAATTATCTAGTTCATTGGCCACAAAATATATATGATACAGAGATTGCACTTGGAAAATGTATGAACTAAGATAAAAGACAACACTGTTTGGAACAAACTGCAAAATGAAAACTTACAGATACAATGTAGACTGCTCTGATATAAAGACATATGTCTGCCAAAATTCCTATGATAAGCACCCAATCCTCAATGACATTGTATTTGGTAGTGTGGTCTTTGGGTGGCAATTAGGTCAGGATGGTGCCTAGAACTTCAGAAATGCAATTAGAGAAGCTTTTTCATGTCTATCTCTTTGCCACATGAGGACACAGAGGGAGTTAGCCATGGCACACCAGAAAAAAACCCACACCAAGAACCAAAGTAGCTGGCTGTTCTAACATGTTGAACTTTGCACCACCCAGATCCTTGAAAAGTAAATTTCTATCTTGAAAAGTAAATAGCTATGCCCAATTTACAAAGATATGAACCTGGGTTTGCAGGATCAAACATGTTTTTAAAAACGACTTCCCTAAAGTGGCATGTTCTGAGGAAAAAAAACCAACAACTTCCCAAACAAGCAGTGCAGATAAGAGGTCAACCCAAATATCAAGAATGTAGAAATAAATACTTCAAAAGCCAAATGGTGTTGCCAAAAGCATTATTCAGCCATCCATCATGAATAACGAACAGTATCTGAGTCATCGTCCCCTGCACATATTGATTTAGGCAGTGTAATCAGAAAGTGGTCAAGCGAATGAGTAGAGGGGTCACCCTTTGCAGAGTGAGAGTCACATGGGAGGTGAGGGAGTTCTGCAATAATGTGAGTATAAAGTTATACGCTAGTCAGTAACTGCATAGTCCATCTGGACCAAAGCAATATGTTAAGAAAGGCCCAGGAGGAGAAAGGGCAAGAGGAGAGGGCAAGGAGTAATGAACATGGGGCAGCAACGTTTGTGCTTGCAGAGCTGTGGGAATATAATTGCACAAGGAACAGCTAAAATCCTGGCTTTGGAAGAAAATATAGAAGTAGCATTATACTGACTAATACGTAAACATAAGAATTATACTGTGGGTGCAGGACAACAAGGGAGGACAATTAAAAAGAAGGTACTGTGATGATATGGGAAGACTAACATTTATGTTTCTATAATATTTGCTATGAAATTTATCAAATTGCATGTCCCATGAGTTCTATTTCCAGGTATATGTTTAACAACCCTACATATCAGGAGATATGTAAACGAATGTTCTTACATTTCAATCCTGAAGAAAAAACAGAAAACAGCCATGAAGAGGAGATGGATGAATTCATTGTGTATATACACATAAAGACACCATAAAACCTTACTGACAGTACAAAAATGTTAAGGAGATATGGGATGCAGAATGAGGATCCCTAGCCCAGTAGGTGAAGATTTGTTTGAGAAAACAAAGAAAGCAGGAAACTCTTGTCAAGGCTTAAATATACGTTAATAGAGACACAGTATATATATACATATATATATATACACACACATATATGTATATATATACACGTATATATATGATGAACGTAATCTGGGATATCAAAAACACAACATGGAAGCAGATCTGTAAAAAAGTCATTTTTGCATGTAACTGAAGTTAAGCTGTTATTAGTTTAAAATAGGATGTTATAAAGCTAAAGTGTTTTCTGTAATTGCAACAGTAACCACAAAAATGTATAGAAGACACGCACAATGGAAATAAAACTATTTCAGGGAAAAAAATCAACTAAATAAAAACGAAGGCAGTAAGAGAAAGAACAACAAAATTCTAAAAGAGATACAGAAAACACTTAACAAAAGGGCAATATAAGTCCTTTTCTATCAGTAATTATAGTAAATGTAAGTGGTTTATACTCCACAATCAGAAGACAGACACTGGCTGAGTGAATTTTTAAAACTGGCTTCAGCTACACACTATCCAGAAAAGACTCATTTTAATTCAAAGGACACACATAGGCTGAATTGAAGGGATGAAAAAAGATATCTCCTATAAATGGTAACAGAATGGAGGCTAAGATGATATCAGTTGAAATAGACTTTATGTCAAAACTGGTACAAGAGACAAAGAAGGGCATTATATAATGATTAAAGGGGTAATTCACTAGGAGGATATAATAATATGTGCCTAATATTAGATATCCTTAAAATGTAAAGCAAAATTAACATAACTAAAAAGAGAAATACTTCCACAGTAATAATAAGAGACTTCAATGGCCCACTTTTACTTAAAAATAGGACAATCAGACAGAAGAAATATAAGGAACTACAGAATCTAAACTATACATCAAATTGGACCTAATCTATATATGCACATCACTCAAAAAAAGCACAAGTTTTTCAGAACTTCATATGAAACATTCTTCAAAAGAAATATTTGAAAAGAAAAAGTTTTAAAACTAAAGACTAAAATTGTAAAGCATAACTTTACCCCATCATAATAAAATAAAACTAGAGATCAACAGCAGAAGAAAATTAGATCATCAACAAATATGTGGAAACAACATATTCTTAGGCTGGGCATGGTGGCTCATGCCTGTAATCCCAGCAATTTGGGCAGCAGAGGTGGGTGGGTCATCTGAGGTCAGGAGTTCGAGACCAGCCTGGTCAACATGGTAAAACCTTGTCTCTATTAAAAATACAAAAAATTAGCTGGGCATGGTAGCAGACACCTGTAATCCCAGCTACTTGAGAGGCAGAGGTTGAAGTGAGCCAAGATCACACCACTGAACTCTAGCCTGGGCAACAAAAGCAAATCTCCATTTCAAAAAAAAACAAAGAAAAAAAAACAAGAACAACAACAACAACAACAAAACCCATGCTGTGAAACAGCCAATATGTCAAATTAGAAATCACAAGGGAAATTAAAAAAAAATCTCAAAACAAAAAAAAATGAAAATAGAACATATCAAAACTTATGAATGTAGAAAAAACAGTTCTGAAATAGAAAATGTATAGATACAAATGCTAACATTAAAATAGAAGCTATCCAATGGAACAGAATAGGAAACACAAAAATACAGCCATATGCCTACAACCAACTGATCTTTGATAAACTCAACAAAAACAGTTGAGAAAAGACATTCTATTCAATAAAAGGTGCTAGAAAAACTGACTAGCCGTATACAGAAGAATGAAACTGGACTCCTGTCTCTCATCATATACAAAAATTAATTCAAGATGAATAAAGACTTACATGTAAGACCTCAAGCTACAAAAATCCTAGAAGAAAACCTAGAAAAAAACTTTTCTGGACAAAATAAAAATTTTTTTTTCTTTTTTAAAGAGACAGAGTCTTGTTCTGTCGCCTAGGCTGAAGTACAGTGGTGCAATCTTGGCTCACTGCAACCTCAGCCTCCTGGGTTCAAGCAATTCTCTTGCCTCAGCCTCCCAAGCAGCTCAGATTACATGCATGTGTCACCACACCAGGCTAATTTTTTTGTATTTTTAGTAGAAACAGGGATTCACCATGTTGGTCAGGCTGGTCTCAAACTCCTGACCTCAGACTCTAAAATGATCTGCCCACCTCAGCCTCCCAAAGTGCTGGGATTACAGGCATGAGTCACCACTCCTGGCCCAATACAAGTTTTTTAAGAGAATTTATTCCTCATTGCTTGACCATCATGAAAAAACATAATGGTTTTATAAATAGTAGAGAAGTTCTTGGAGTGCAAGAAATGGGCTAAATGTAAAATATATTTTAAATAATGATTCAGTATAACATGATGGGCATGAATGTATATAGGCGAATAGTTATTATAATATAGCATTTGTTCCAAGAAAGGAAGAAACGGTGCAATTTAAACAAAACCCAGCAAGTTACATTTAGGAAACTGAGACATACTACAGAAAAGTAATGTATCTTATATAACAAAGAATGATCAATCTATTAAATGGTATTTCCACAATTAAGATAGTAACTTAATTAAAAAATTATGTTTGAGATATTAAAACTTTCCAATTTAAAAACTATAATCAATTTAATTGACAAATATATAGTTTAATAGGAACTAAGTCAGGTGAAACAGAAGCAAAAGGAATGAACCGAAACTGTCTTAACACAATAGCATGTTGTTTGTGTAAGTTTAGGGAAACTGCTGTTAAGCTATACCATCTGTACTAAAGAAGGAACTCTAGTAAAATACATAAAACAATACGCATTCCCCTGTGGGTAACCCCCCATATAGGCACCGAGGAATGAGAGCTAAGCAGAGCCCTGGCACAGTTAGGGCTTGAGGAATATCTCACTTTATAGTGTTACTACTCAGCTATTTCCTTTTATATAATCCTTTATATAATCATATATTAGTTTATAGAAATAGGGCTTGAAGTATCCCTTTATATAATCCTCTATATATAATCATATAATAGTTGATAGTATGAGTGCCTAAAGAATATTTCCCTACATATATACTTGTAATTATATCTTAGTTCATAATCGGAGGAATGCCTAGAGTGGACACAGTACAGAGCATGAATTAAGGAATAAGCAGCTTATAATCAGAGGAATGCCTAGAGCAGATACAGTGCAAGGCATGAATTAAGGGAAAACAGTTATACCAGGACAAGAATCCACGGCCCAGGCGGCAGCGTTCAGTATTGTAAAGACACCAGCTGTATGGCAGGCTTGGGGTGAGAGCCACTCCTCCTGATAAAGGGACTTGCCGGACTTTGCTCCAGTTCTTGTGGAAAGCTGCCCTCAGAACGGCAATCCACCTTGGTGATTGTGAACTTTATCAGCTCTTGCTACTGTGCTGCTTGAAAAGCATCTTCCCATAGAACCCATTGGAAGCTGCCAGAAGGTGGCAGTAACCTTGACAGCTCTGTCACTGCTATGTGACTTAAAGCATCCTCCCATAAATCTTCCTTAGAAGTAGTTTCCCATAGATAGAAGTATGGCACACTGCACCCTCTTCACTGTGCACGGCCCACCTTCAAGCCTCGGTGGCCTAATGGGGGTGGACCCTATGTTTTATTGCTCACGACCCTATCACTATCCTTAAAGATGATTTCACTCACTGCCCTACCCCCTAACCTATACACAATAATTACTCATGCTTCTGGACATTCGGGGCCTCGCCTCGCCAGGCGCCTCGCTGGCCGCTCGCCACTTATAGGTGGCATGGCCCCCTGAGCCCAGCTGCATTTTCCTTGTACTTCTGTGTCCTGTCTCTTTATTTCTCGGATCCTGCGCCTCAGCACAGCATAAGGCTCACCCCACGACCCTGTGGGTCACTCAACCCTACATCTGGCTCCCAACGTGCCCTACATCTGGCACCCAACTTGTGGGTTCCTTATTGCTGTGCTTAGCGTAGCTGTCAGAGCTACTACTGTGGAGAATTCAGCGCTGGATTCCTGGGCGTTTGGTAAGAAAAGTGGGACTGGCTTTTTGTAACGCTCACAATAATCTCGGGGTTAAAATGGGACAAACAAACTCTAAGTATGACTCCTATATTTCCTTTATTAAAACCCTACTAAGGCAGGGGGGTATTTCAGTCTCCTCAGACAAGCTTGTTGAGCTATTCAATCTTATAGATTCTCTCTGTCCATGGTTCCCAGCTGAAGGTACACTTGACTTGCAGGACTGGGATGAAATTGGTGATCAGCTTCGTATTGCCAGGAGTGCGGGTAATGAGATGGCCCCCTCGGCCATTGCAACCTGGGCCACAGTTCGCAATATGCTTGAAACATTGGGAGCCAGATGTAAGGCTGAGTGCCGCACATTCCCCAACACAATACTACCATACATAGAAACATAAAACAAAGAAAACTGAGTATCCTCAAAAATATGGAACAGATCATTAAATAAATAAAAACAAAGTATACTTATAGTACATGAAAATGCACCAGATGAAAGCAATGTTTGCTTAAAGCAAATTTTGTGGACTTAAAAAATGTAAGCCTCATTCAACTTCATTAGCTTCCTCAATAAGATCAAAGACATACTCACTGTAAACGGAAAATACTGGGGAAGAAAAGTGTGGCACGAGCAGTGGTTCAGGCAACCGCCCTGCAGACATGAAGCTGTGAACTTGGACAGTGTTACCCCTGGGAGAAATTCCTACACCATTCACCACTACCTCAAAAATGAGGACCATTAGTATATGAGATCGACATTGCCACAGTACCCTTGAGAGACACTTTTGTGACAGTTCTCAAAAACCAGGCTCTTGTGATACTCTCTATCTGAATATCATGATACATCCTGACCATTCTACTCTGGCTTTAATAGTCACTACTGTATATCGCAAGATGATGTTAAAACTTATCACTCAAAGTGCTCTCCTTCAAGAATTTTCTCTTACCCAGTCAACCCACTCCATGAGATAGTCCACAGGATGTTCATAACCCCAAGATGGGTTATCATAGCAGAAAAAAGGATAAAATGTCGGACCCTAGAAATCTGTTTATCCAAAGCAAGTCTCAGAGGCAAAAATTCACACAAACATAAAAGACAATATAAAATTAGGAAGAGCCAAGGCATAAACAAGACAGAGAAAAACACAGGAGTTGTATTAGGAGGGATCTCAAAATGATACTCTGCTCTGTCCACAGATCCCAGCCTAAGAGTCTGAAGACAGAGATATGCTCCCCGTGTAGGATTAAGAATAAAGAGAGGAACTTTGTGTCAACTATCTTTACAGTTTTTCTATGTAACAATCTCAGGAAACCCAACTGACTCCCCTGTCACAAACCCAAGAATATTGTTCAAAGAAGAACTGAATAAATGGCTGAGGGACCTGAACAGACGGACAGAGCTGAAGACAGTCCCATGCAGTGTCAGGATCCCAGCTTCAAAGAAAGGGTAACCAATGTTTCCCCATCTCTGGACCAGCACTTTCATGTATAGGAAATGGGGTGGAACCAGAAAAGCTCCAGGTATCAGGACTATGGAGCCCTCAGCTCTAATGTACATGAATCAGGGAACTGAGCATCAGATGGAATCAAGAACAGGAGGAGAGGCCACACAGGAAAGAGACTCTTTTGAAAAGGTCCTTCCCATGCCACAGAGTCAAAGCATCAGAGTTCACAGAATACAGATGACACTGTGATCCATCATAATAGTCTTGTCCTTTGCTCTGTTTGAGCTGCAGCGCCACTGGAGACTGAAATGATAAACTTATACATGTCTGGGGAGTAAAGTGATAAACAGGAAAGAAGAAAAATTTTAGAGCTCATAGAAAATCAAATTTGTTTCCTTACAGAACTCTCCCACTTGCAGTTTTACACAATTTCATGGTGCTGCTTCCATTGTGCCCATCTGAACTCTTACCTGTGATCACATCTTTCATGTATTCCCCCCAATTTGGGTTCCTTGTTATTTTCACTTGGCTCACCACAGTCCAGGGCTCTTTTCCCTGCTCCAACATGGAGATAATATTCAGGTCAGGAAGACAGAGTCCTGCTTATAAAAAAAGAAAGAAGATGTCCCATGGTTTTTCCAGAACCCAGACTAACATTTAGGTTGAAGAGAAAACACTGCAGTTGAATCTACAAAATGTTTCACAAACTCATCCATTGACTGCCTCCCTCTGAATGCTTAAGGAACACTGTAAGATGCAGACGCCTAGCCCTCTCCCAAGAAATAATGAATCAAAAACACAGGGACAGGCCAAGCATACGAGCTCATACCTGTAATCTCAGCACTTTGGGAGGCCAAGGTGGGAGGACTGCTTGAGCCCAGGAGTTCAAGATCAGCCTGGGCAACACAGTAAAACCCTGTCTCTACTTGGGCATGGTGGTGCACAGCCATAGTCCCAGCTACTTGGGAGGCTGAGGTAAGAGGATGGCTTGATCCCAAGAAACTAAGTTTGCAGTGTGCTGAGATCATACCACCGCATTCCAGCCTGGGTGACAGACTGAGACTGTGTCTCAAAAAAAAAAGCACAGGGATAGAAAACAGGAACAGGGAATTTGCTATATTAAATGTGCTATAAGGTTTTATATGTACATCAGTTCTAGAACCACCACTTATGTACAAAGAAGGAAGCAGAATATCCATAGAAACGGGACAGTTAAAGGCCAGATACAGCATTATGAAGCTTTTTATTTGTGAACAAACAAGGCTTCAATCTCTGTCAAATAACGTAGGACCTCCTATAATAAGGAAAGTAACAAAAATGCACAAGGGAATATCCTAACTTCCGGAGGAAAATTATCCTCACCCAGGAATCCCAGATTCCTGTAGTTCTCCAACATCACGTCCCTGTACAAAGCTTTCTGAACAGGATCCAGGTATTTCCACTCCTCCTGAGAAAACTCTATGGCCACATCCTTGAATGTCAAAGATCCCTGAAATGAAAAACACATTTCAATGATGAACAATGAATGAGCTCTTATCTTTACATAAAATGAGAAGAGAAGGTCACATCAATTTGATTGAAGTATGTGTTTTGACATATTCATGAAAAGCAACTGTGAGATAATTATATGTCCCTAATTTTAGTTTTTATAAAATTCAATAGGAGATTAGAATTTTTGTGGACAAAATAAGAAATAAACACATGGTTATCCCCATGCAAGTATTAGATATTATATCTGATACACCTAGTGAGGGTGTCTGGATGAGCTAGAATACAAGTGGTATCTTCAGAGATGACAATGCTCTTAGTGGCTCTAAAGAAAGGTCAGAAACTAAGAACTGTAATGACAAGAACAACAGCAACGTCTAAAGTTTTGGAACATTTCTCGTGCCGGGCATTACTCCAAATGCTTTACATGTTCTAATTCAAATGACGACATAATAACCAATGACAGAAAGATTTCTTCCCATCTTACTAGAAGACCATTATGTCACAGACACACTAAGAAACTTGCCTAGGTCAACGACCTGCAACCAGCAGAGCAAGCACCTGAACCTAGACGTCTGAAAATTAGAGCTGAATCAACAGAATCCAACAGTTACATAACAGAGTATGTCCTAGTCTTTCTGTGCAGCTATAACAAAATAAGGCAGACTAATTTATGAACAGAAATGTATTTCTCATGATTCCGCTGGCTGCGAAATCCAAGATCAAGGTGCCAGCAGGACTGATGTCTGCTGAGGGATATTCCCTGCTTCCAAGATGGCGTCTTGTTGCTGCATCCACTGGAGATGAGGAATGCTGTGTCCCCACATGGCAGAAGGGACAAAAGGGGCAAAAAGCAGTGAACTCACTAGAATAAGCCTTTTGATATCTCAGTGAAAAGAACACCATATCCCATGGACAAAGGCAGACCCCTCAGGATCCAACCTCCTCCTGAAGGCCACACCTCATAATTCTTGGAGATTGGGCATTGGGGATTCAGTATGAACATAAATTGTGGAGGAGAGAAAAACACTCAGACCATGGAATTCTACCCCTGCCTGCCAAAATTCATGTACTTCTCACATACAAAATACATTCCATCCCAATGACTCCCAAAGCCTTAACGTTTTCTACTACTAATTCAAAAGTCTATACTCCAGAGCTGCATCTCATTATAATCGAAATCAGATATGGGTGAGACTCAAAGCTGTGTTGCATCTGGAGGCAAACTCCTCTCCAGCTGTGAACCTGTGAAATCAAATGAGTTATGTGCTTCCAAAGTACAATAGTAGGGCAGACACAGGTTAGATATTTCAATTCCAAAAGGGAGAAACAGGAAGGAAGAGGTACCTGTTCCCATGTAAGTCTGAAACCCAATAGGGCACACACATTAAATAATAAGGCTTGACAATAATCTCCTTTGACTCCATGTCCCACCTTCTAGACATTCTGGAGAAGAGGTTGGGTCCCCAGCATCTTGCGAATTCCTGCCCAGTAGTTTTGCTGGGATCACCTCACATGGAAGTTCTTACGCACTGTGGTAAAGTGCCTACAGCTCTTCCAAGCTGAGATCACATATCAGTGAGTCTACAGTTGTGGGGTCTTGGTGAGAGGGGAGACCCCCCTCACCTCCTTCAATTTCACCTCTTCTGCCCCACCTTCCAGATGGGAAGGAGGGTGAAGAAGGAAAAAAAAAATTAAATACCGAAGAGCTGGGAAAATGACTCCCTTTTTAGTTCCCAGCATCTCTGCTATCTGTTAACCTAAAAAGCGCTGCAAATGAATGTTATCTCTGCCGGCTGGAGCCCAGCACTGGTTCATGAGCCCACATCTCCACAGACCAGGCTCCCTCCTGGAAACACCTCTGCTAACAAACAGCTTGCTGCTTTTGTCTTGTCTCTATAAGCCCCCCTCCCTTGCTGGTTCCCGCTCACGCTGCATATGAATTAGCAAATCAATAAAGCCAAAAGATTGTAAGGTCAGACTCCAGCAAATGGACAATGACATAGTTCCACCTCAGTTTCCCCTTTAGCAGCTCAAAGAAGCTGCAGCTCAGGGAGCTCAAGGAATGAGGCTGTAGCACCCCTACAACTCCCAGCTGAATAAAAAGCCACTTCTTCCTCAGTTAGGTGTTCAAGAGGTTTGTTCCCCACCACTCCTGCTGCATCACCGTTAGATGGTCCTTACTATAGGCCTCCTGTTACTGCTTGATCTCTGCTTTTATTTTACTGCACCATAGTTTGCCCCGGCCATCTTTTCCTACAGATACTGAAGTGTTTTATATAAAAAGGCATAGTGTTTGCATACAACCTGCCTATATCTTCCCATATGATTTTAATCATCTCTACATTATTTATAATAGCTAATACAGTGTAAATGCTATGTAAGTAGTTGTTATACTGCATTGTTTAGGAAATAATGACAAGAAAAAAAAGGACTACACATGTTCAACACAGACGAAACCAACCATTTTTTTCTGGCTATTTGTAGTTCACAGTTGGTTCCACTCGTGGCTGCATAAGCCATGAATACAGAGGACTGACTCTGAATTACCGAAGAATTTGAAATAGCAGCCACAAGAATGCTCAATGAGTTAAAAGACAGCACACACACAGACAAGTTCATGAAATCAAGAAAACTGTATGAACTATACATGCAAAGAAGAATATCAACAGACATTAACAACTTTAAAGAATCAAAAAGAAATTCTGAGGCTGGGCACCATGGCTCATGCCTGTAATTCCACTACTCAGGGGAGGCTGAGGTGGAAGAATCACTTAAGCCCAGGAGTTCTGAGACCAACCAAATTAGGCAGGCGTGATGGTGTACACCTGTAGTCTCAGCTACTCAGGAGGTTGAGGTGGGAGGTTCATTTGAATCCAGGAGGCAGAGGATGCAGAGAGCCAAGATCATGCCACTGCATTCCACCCTGGGCAAGAGTGAAACCCTGCCTGAAAACAAAACAGAAAGAAAAAAATTCGAGCTAAAAATACGGTAACTGAATTCAAAAATTCACTAGGTGAGTTCAACAGCAGACTTAATTAGGCAGGAGAGGGAATCAGTGAACTTAAAGGGGATTCTGACAGGGAGGAAAACAAAAACTATAAAAAATAAAGAAAATAAAGAGCACCTAAGGGGCTCATGGGGAAACCCTCAAGTACCAAGAACATATGCATTCTGAAAGTCCAATAACTAATGTAAATATGTAAATACACCTAACATTACTGAACTGTAAGCAAACAAACAAACTTTACTGAAAGATAATACAGATATGATCACTGACAAAATCAATTCTTATGGGAAGATGTGGTGACTTAAAGACCCATAACTGTAAAAATTTATAGCCATTCGAACACAAAATATGTCAGAATTTATTAAAATGTGACTGTTATATAAAAAAGGAATGAACAAAAGTCTGGAAAGAAAATGGAGGGCTTTGCCAATCTTCATATGAACCTATTAAGATATTTATAATCTGAAACTTTAAAAGCAATCAAATATAATCTATAAAAAGATGTACACAAAAATTCAAATTAAAGATTCATGCAAAGAAAAGGTAAGCAAGAAACATGAGATTTTAAAGAAACATTGTATTTTATAATCACACTGTGAGCCAGGTCTTCCAAAAAAAGATAAAAAAAAAATTTATTTTTGCTTTTGCGGTATACCATCCTAAAATAAGCAATCATTCTTTGAAATGCCTGTGAAGGAAGCCTCAGACGCTTGTGGTAAAGACAGCATGCACAGCGGCAGCCATGGTGACATTCTTTGTAAAAGTGAAAAATTGTAAAAGATTCATATGTCTTCATTTAGAAATTGCTCCAAAGAGGATGCAAAACAAGCTATTCATGTTTATTAACATAAAAACATGTACATTTCAAAAACTTGCAAAATAAAATATCCCAGCCGAACATTCAATGAAGAACTGTTTTCTAAAATCTCCTAATGATGTGTAAATTCATCCTGACACCTCTGACTCTTGTCACAGAACTCACAATAGTAGCTCCTCAAGGAAATGTGAGGCATGGTGAAGGATGTCACAGGAAAAGGAACTTGGGTTCCTCTGGATAAAGAGTGATCAACTCTTCTAGGATGGTACATTTCCTATTTTGATGAATCTGGCTAGATTCCCCACTCTCCTAAGTTCAAGGGTGCCCCCTCCCACCAATGACACATGACATTTCGCTCTTTAAATAAAAAAAGGTACTTGGCCAGGCGTGGTGGCTCACACCTGTAATCACAGCTCTTTGGGAGGCCAAGGCAGGCGGATCATGAGGTCAAGAGATTAAGACCATCCTAGCTAACACAGTGAAACCCCGTCTCTACTAAAATATAAAAATTAGCTGGGTGTAGTGGTGCGCGCCTGTAGTCCTAGCTACTTGGGAGGCTGAGGCAGGAGAATTGCTTAACCCCAGAGGCAGAGGCTGCAGTGAGCTGAGATCAGGCTACTGCACTCCAGTCTGGTGCCTGGTGACAGAGTGAGACTTTAAAAAAAAAAAAAAAAAAAAAAGACAGTACTACTATGTTCTTTTTTCTCTTTGAGGATCTAGAAAAAATAAAAGTTCTTTATATTTCCATTTTCCAATGCCTTGGACTGTGAGGATGTTTCAATATTTTGTGGAAATAAAAATAAAATAATTCTTACTTTATGCTCAATTTTCTTTTACTGCATTCTAGAAGCTATTTCATATTCTGTAAAGTTTTAAATTATGGCCTTAACGTCCTTTTTTTAGGTTATATTTTTTGTATAAAACTGAAATGTATCTTGATGCCCTGTTTTTCACTTGTTTGCTTATAAATTTTATGGTGTATCCTTAAGGTACACAACATAGTAAGGCATAGATAGTAAAAAACTCACTATAGTTTAACAAATTAACATATCCATATCTCACAGTTAACTTTTTTTTTTTTTTTTTTTTTTTTGTGGCAAACAGCTAAAATCTCATTTAGTATAAATTTCACATATAATAAAATGTTATTCCCTATCATCCTCATGTTGTATCACCTTCTTAATGCCTAAATTGCATCTCTGCTTGGACTTTTACCACAAAACAAATATATGTATCATGTGATGTTTAAAATAAAAGAAATATAATATTTAATAATAATTGGTAGAATGAGAGAATTTGGCTCCATCTTCTCAAAAAAGTTTGGCTCTGAGCAAAATTATAACTGTTTTACAAAACAACTGCTGGTAAGAGCCCCTGCAGGAACACTGCATTCTGTGTGGGATGGATATGCAGAGAATGGCTAAATTAATCTGATGTTCAGGTTGATTTCATATTTTAAATTCAATGATGGAATAAAACACCCTCTATCACTGATGTCTGTACCTAGTTTTTCATTCCATTTCCAGGTATTAAGATTGTGGAGTTAGAAAGAGTTGACTCATTCATTATAGCTTCAAATGTGGTATAAAGTCAAGGAGAAAAGATCTCCGCTTAAAGGCATCCTTTCAAGAATATATGAGGTTATTTGTACACATTAGCAGGTGCGTTAACATGTGACTTCCACATACAGCTTCTCTACTCCTGGTTTACTGAGAGCTAACAGTGCATTCAGAGGTTGCTCCTAAACAATCTCTCCTGCCCAAAAACTGACATCACAGGACCCAGACCCCCTCTCCATCCATGTTTGGGTGTGAGCACTTCCCAGAACCATGCCCAGTGGAGCCTCTTCCCAAGCTCATGTCACTAGGTCACTGTGAGATCAGGAATCAAGTGCAGATAAGAGGGTCTGAAAGAAGGCATGGGTGAGTGTGAGCAAACGTATCAGGCAGGATGCTTCAGACTCAGGGAAGATTTGCAACTCCAATGCCCTGCATTTCAAAAAGGAAAGAGACAGAACAATCTATCAAGAATATCACTTTACCTGAGTAAGAGCCATCCCTGACTCCTTTTCTTTTTTATTCCTCTTCTGGGCTTCTCTCTCAGTCAATATAATTAATTCTTTAAAAGTCAAATCTGAAAGTCAAATATATGTTGTTTAATGCTTGGAAACAACACATTCCTTTCTGTGAAACAACCATGCTTTGAAAATTCTTCCCTAAGTCACCACCGTGCCACAGACTCATCACAGAAAACCTTCCCTAATGAAAGCCTTCTTTCACTAGAGTCTGAGGCCCTAATGTTCTCCTCCTACACTGAGACTGGCTTACAGACGTCCATGGGGTTCCACACCCTTCCCAGATACTCCATGGTGTTCCCCATATCCTGCTACGAAATCCCACATGCCCCAACAACTCATAAACTCATGCTGAATGAAGGCATACAAAGACACCAGAGAACTCAATGACCCAAGACACCCTATTCCATTCATAATGACCTCACCTCCAAACACTGGCACCACCATCTACTAAAACAGATTATTCCAGTGATGCACATGCCCCAATGAGACCCCAACCAACATCTTCCAAGGAAACTCTCCATTTTGACATTTGGATATTCCAAAACAAATCTATAACCATCTTAACTTGCAGCTCAAAATACTCCAGAAAACAAAGGTAACCCCTCTGAGATTTTCCAGATAATACTTCTGTCAGTTGCATGATGATTCTTGCACTCCCAAAAGACCTCACAGAAGATACCATGAAGAGTGCTTATGGTGGTACAGCTCTGGGATCCATGCCCTGAGGACCAACGAACCAATTCTCCAGCTGCCCAGCATCCCTGTGGGCACAGCTTAGGCCTTGCTTCTCACTTCAGTTGATTCTAGAACAACATGAGTTTGGATTGTGTGGGTCCATTTATAGAAGAATTTTCTTCAATAAACATCTTGAAAAATATTTTGAAGATTTGCAATAATTTAAAAAAACTCGCAGATGAACCACATACCCTAATTAAGAAAAAGGCATGCCAGGAATGCATAAAATATACGTAGGTATTAGCATATTAGTCTATTTGATTTACTACCATCAAATATACACAAATCTATTCTAAGTTAAAATTTACCAAACTTATACAAACACCTTTAGACTGTGTATGGTGCCATCCGGAGTCAAAATAAATGTAAAAATGTAAAGATGCAGTATTCAATCACAATTGCATAAAATTAACTGTAGTACATATTGAACTACTATAATAATTTCATAGTCACCTCCCATTGCTATTGTGGTGAGCCCAAGTATCTGCTAGTGTGCCCTGTGATGTTAATCATCTCCATGTGAACAGTCCATCTCACTAGTACACTGCGGATGGCAGTAAAAACTGATCTCTGTGTTCCAGCACATTTTTCACTGTGTTTCGTGCAATACCATATACTCTGAGTAATAACCCAGGACCCATCTGAAGTGCCACTGGTGATGCTGGAAGTGCTCTCAAGAAGTAGAAAAAGGTCATGACATTACAGTGTCATGTATTATTTGAACATGACATTACAACATGTTCAATTGCTTGATACATACCATGGACTGAGGTGTGCAACTGCAGCTGCCCGCCGTTTCAAGATAAATGAATCTGGTGTAAGGACCACTGCAAAAGAGAAAATTCATGAGGCCGTCACTGCAGCTACACCAGTAGGCACTAAAACAATGCAATTTTTGCTAAATACCTTCTTTATCTCATATTCAAAATGCAACTTTTATACAGGTGCAAAATCACTATAATGAAAGCATACTTGTATACGATTTGAGAAAAAGGGAAGTATTTTATGACAACTTAAAGCAAAAGGAAGGTAAAGGATCTAAAGCTGGAGAATTTGATGCCAGCAAAACATGACTGATAATTTGAGAAGTTTGGCTTAAAAAATGTCAAGAACTCCAACCAAGAGGCAGTAGATGGGGTCCCAAACCCATGAAGAAAATCATTAATGAGCCAGGCATGATTGCTCATGGAAGGCCAAGGTGGGCAGGCCACTGGAGGACGGGAGTTCCAAACCAGACTGGGCAACATGGCAAAACTCTTACACTACTAAAAATACAGAAAAATTGGCCGGGCGCGGTGGCTCAAGCCTGTAATCCCAGCACTTTGGGAGGCCGAGGCGGGTGGATCACGAGGTCAAGAGATCGAGACCATCCTGGTCAACATGGTGAAACCCCGTGTCTACTAAAAATACAAAACATTAGCTGGGCATGGTGGTGTGTGCCTGTGATCCCAGCTACTCAGGAGGCTGAGGCAGGAGAATTGCCTGAACCCAGGAGGCGGAGGTTGCGGTGAGCCGAGATCGCGCCATTGCACTCCAGCCTGGGTAACAAGAGCGAAACTCCGTCTCAAAAAAAAAAAAAAAAACAGAAAAATTAGCTGGGCATGGCAGCGTGTGCCTATAGTTTCAGTTACTTGGGAGGCTGAGGTGAGATGATCCCTTCAGCCTGGAAGGCGGACATTACAGTGAGCCAAGGTCACACCACTGCACTCCAGACTAGATAACAGAGTGAGACCCTGTCTCAAAAAAAATTTTTTTTTATCTCCCAGTGGAGTAAAAAAATCAAAAAACAAACAAAATCATTGAGGAGAAAGGATATCTGCCTGGACAGGTTTTTAATGCAAACAAAACTGCCCTATTCCCCCCACCGCTCCCAAAAAAGCCACAATACAATTTATTAATAAAGAAGTGAAGGGCCAAGACTTATAGAAAGAAAACAAGACAGGCAAATTCTACTGTTTTATGCAAACGCAGTCAGGTTAATGATCAGGACTGCCCTTATCAATAAAGCTAACTCCTGGGCCTTGAAGAAAAAAGATAAACACCAGTTGCCAGTCTTTTGGCTGTACAGTAAGAAGTCCTGAACAATGAGAATAATTTTTCTAGATTTCCACTTATGTTCTGTTCCTGAAGTCAAGAAGTACTCTGCCAGTAAGGGACTGCCTTTTATTAAAGTTCTTTGATATTGGACAATGCTCCCAGACACCCACAACCCCATGAGCTCAACTCAGAAGGTGGCAAAATACAAAGTTCCTAATCTGGAGGACACAAGGACCTTGAAGGCTCACTATGCTACGGAAAGAATTGTTAATGCTATGGAAGTTTAAAATCAGAACAGAGTGTCCCGGAGCAGTGGCTCACACCTGTAATAGCAGCACTTTGAGAGGCCGATGCAAGTCGGGCAGATCACTTGAGGTCAGGAGTTCAAGGCTAGCCTGGCCAACACTGTAAAACCCTGTCTCTACTAAAAATACAAAAATTAGCCAGGCATGGTGCTAAGTGCCTGGAATCCCAGCTACTTGGGAGGCTGAGGCAAGGGAATCATTTGAACCCAGGAGGCTGAGGTTACAGTGAGCGGAGACTATACCACTGCACTCCAGCCTGGGCGACAGGGTGATGCTCCATCTCAAAAAATAAAATATAAAAAAATTAATGGCCGGGCGCGGGTGGCTCAAGCCTGTAATCCCAGCACTTTGGGAGGCCGAGGCGGGTGGATCAAGAGATCGAGACCATCCTGGTCAACATGGTGAAACCCCGTGTCTACGAAAAATACAAAACATTAGCTGGACATGGTGGCGCGTGCCTGTAGTCCCAGCTA